AGGAACGGTGGGGAAATGAAAATGGCTCACGCACCCTGGAGTCTCTTCTTCCCCACCTGAGGCTTAGCCCCGTTTTTAACAAAAAGGACAAGTGTAACGCGGTTGTAAATGCATTGCCACCACAATGCCCCCGTATCTTGCGATAGCGCCGCCATTTTTAGTGCGTTCCCAATCGGAGTTCAAGAAGGGAGTTTTTCCTGAGGCTACCGACCAAACCGGTACTTCTACAAAAAAGTTTCTTCAGAATCGCTGAAGAACTTGCAATTACTGTATAGCGCTCTGGCTCTCCCAAATTTCCTTCATATTAGCTCTGACTACTGCCTGTCTGTCTGACCTTTAGCCAATGAGTGTCAGTGCGGCCGATGCGGCCGAACACTTGACGATATTTACCAAAGAACCTTAAAGAGGCCTCATTCGAATGAGTTGTCGACACAACACTCGAAGAAATGACGAAAACATTCCGCGTTTCCGAAAATAATCGAAGGACTCATTTGAGCCTTCTTCGGCTATTTTTTCCACCCGTATTTTTTCTAAGTATGATACTCAGCCGGTACAAAACTTACCGAACGCTTTTTTCTCGATTCTTTTGAAGGAGACATCACGGAAATAGAGGTAAGTGACGTGAGTTAGGTGGTAGAAAGCATGTGTGGAGAGTATATCGATCGTTGAGTTCCGAAACCAAAGATGTTGCATGTGTGAAAGACCTGTGAAGGTGTATGGTAGAACCACTGGAAGAGTGCACTGAAAATTGTCAGCAGTATTTCAAAATTATAACAGGTTTCAACAAACAGTGAATTCAGACTTAAAGGCACCCTACGCGATTATTTTAGACGCAGACGCAGAAATTCCTTTGGTGGATGAAGATGCGCGGTCCGCAGCAGCAGACTTCGCGCTTTTTTACTCCCCCTAACTTCTTTCTGAGACACTAGGGCCTTGGGACTTAGCAACTGTAAGCCCAATGGATCCGTGCACGCCCATTACGATATACTCATCTGGTCGCATCGCTGGTTTTCTATGCTCTACGGTCTCGTCTCTCTACCCGGCGCCCATTGCTTTGTACCTGCTCTCTACCTCTATCAGGGAGGACTTGTAAATTACGGAACTTAGAGTTGAGACCTACCCTCTATTTCGGAAAACGAGAAGAGTCGAGTGCAGACCACACACCACAAGTGACGACGGCCAAGAAAAAACCATTTTTTCTTGGCCGTCGTCACTTGTGGTGTGTGGTCTGCACTCGACGCTCTTCTCTTCTTCCGAAATAGAGGGCATGTAGGTGAATCGTTAGAGCCTGGAAGGCTGGTTACAAATGTGAAGATCAAAATTGCTACGTGAATCTGCTACAGAAGTTATACGGTCGAAAATGGTATGAATGCTACGTTGGTACAATGGTATCTGGTAAAAGTCTTACTGCGAGGGATACCGATAGCCCTTATTACGAATCTGACATCTATTCTGGCAATGGTGCCATTTGGCACCATTCTGGATACGCCAACCTAAAAGGCAAAAAATTTGTAATCACGGGGAATTGAATCTTGGACTAATTTGACCGCTCACAACTTCCTTGCCAGTTTTACGTAGCAGTTGGCCTTCAATTTTTAACAAGCATGCCAGGATCTATCGACTCGCCTAGGTCTCAATTCAAAATTCCATGGAAAGGTGAATGCATTTCCTGCTTAGATTCCTCTACAGCTGGAAAAGGGAGATTCGCATTTCGGTGTTTTTGACAATTTTTTTTCCTTTTTTATCCAAACTGGGGAGCAATTTTGCAACCCTGCATTCATTCTCGAGTGAATTACCTCTTTAGCTACAAAATTACCGGCTACACCTTTGGCAGAGCCTTCTCAAGCCTCTTTCCCTTTACAAATTACAGCTTTAAGGGGGGAGAGTTTCAGAAAATTGAAAATTGCTCACGCACCCTGCAGTTTCTCTCCTCCCATAAGGCTCCCTTCTGAAACTGAGCGCTCATAAAAAAATGGTTAGTGCGGTTTTAAATGCGCCGCCGCCGTAATGCGCCCACCGTCTTGCGATAGCGCCTGGAAAACTAATTCGCCGGGTTTGTTCTGGCGTTCCCCGTTCAAGGCGGTAAGGCAAGCCAAATGTTTGCCAAAGGAAGTATAGGCCGCGCGGCGGCATTGATGAATCATAGTCGGCTGATGAGATGGCGTTTATTTCTCTCAGAACAGCGCTCGATAGACGCTCTCCTCCAACTAACCTTGTCGATAACCAATTGTTTCGGTGATTGTAGTATGTTACGAAAAGCGTGCGGCTCGAACGTCAATCGACCTTAAATGTACTCGATCATTTCCAGAAATATCAGGAAATTTTTACAGAGCCTTCAAGTTTTCATGATAGTGTTCCATGAACTTCGTTTTTTTGCCCAGACACAGTATTGCAATAATATCATGGACCTTGAGAAGAAAGGACATTCCTTACACTCCTAATGCCCTAGACTTTCGCGAGGACGATACTGACATGAACAAATTACAGCCAGCCAAGGCTGTCATTGCGCCACGAACACGGTGGCACAGGATGGATGGTGAATGAAGACCCTTAGGTCCTGCTCGTGACGAAAATTTACAGAGCTTAGAGGAAAACGGGTGTTGATCACATCTGAAATGATTATTTCTTTTTTTCTTTTTATTTTCTTTGTCTAATTCTTTTTTCAGGCTCTCCTTGAACCAACACCCTTTTCCGTGAACTTCCATGTTTTTTTTTTTTATTTAGTGGTGGACGGACGAGCATCGCATAACACCCCCAAATTGTGAGCAGACCGGAATATTGAACTCTTAGCAAACTTTCTCTAAGATTTATTGAAGGCTTAATAAATATGGGAAATTTTAACAGTATTGCAGGCTTAAAGCAAGATTTTTTGTATTGCGCGGGGCCCTTAAAATTGAAAACTTCCTGGCATGAGTTCCCACAAATATCCTACCCCTTTCACGACTACGCAATTCTATGCGGTACTCCTGCACTTTTTCAGTCGCATACGGTACTTCGACGCAAGTACAAGGCACAGTGGTTCGGGTTCTCCATCGCGATCTTAAATCGAAAATAAAAGATATAAAAGCTGGGCGTCAGAACCTTAACAATTGCCCTACGTCAAATAAAGGCACACCGACGGTCTCGGGGCCCAAATCCTGGACCCGCGTCCGTACCATGCCATAAAGCTTCGATGCGAGTGGAAAGCGAGTTAAATGTCATTTAGTGCTCCTGCATAGAAGCAAGGTAAAAAAACACGTACGCGAACCGCATTCAGAAGTTCTCAATAGGCCAGCCAAGCACTGCTTTTGAAATTTCTTATTCAACAAGTGAGGTATTGCGTGCGTACAACCTCAGAATCTATTTGAATATGCTGTAGTCGAGATATCGCGCCTCGAGGAAGAAGATTTCCTGCCGAAATTCAGAAGTGTTTAGGTCAAGTAATGCTTCTCGTAACCCATGGTACAACTATGCTTTAGTAGAAAAGATGAACTGACTTCAAAAAGTATCATCTCTTCTGCTGTCTACGGGAGAGATGAAGTCGAATTTGAAATCGCCTTCTCCATTTTACTTTCAATCAATCTTTTATCATTTTAAACCTTTCTTTGTTTGAAATTCGCTCGCAATTTTCGAACATCATCGTTTTCATTCGTTGTTTACATAGCTGCACATAGGCTAATATGTACAGATCCACAGCGATATGCTCCTAAACGCGAAATCAGAAGAAGTTTGACGCTTATCAATTCCTTTTTGGATGAGCCACGCACCCTACTTCTGTTTTCAATCGCGGACCTTCTGAATGCGGTACGGCTTATACATACGTAGAAGCTGTGGAACCAATCGACATTCAATGCAGTGTTTTTATTTTCCCACCCGAGTGTGCCCTGAAATAACTAGTGGGAAGGTTATGTGTCCAGTGCAGGTTTAGATCCGGGATTTCACCCTGCTTAAGCAATCACGAGCCATCACCTTTTGCGAGGTAGCATTTTTTAAAATTGGTATACGCTGGGAAACAATTTACCGTATAACTTTAAAATTTCCTTCAGCATCTCGCCTTACCCTGACGTAGGCTCACCAATAAAAGCACATGAACGACACTATAGGGGGTATTCTTACGAAATAGGTCCATTCTATCGTAACTAAAAATACTAGTGTTGGATTTTGGATTTTGCTGGATTTTGGTGGATTTTGCTTATTTCGTAACTATGCCTTCATAAAGACGCGAGCAACTATTACGCGCATTTATCGACCTGCTTTGTTCGTCAGTTTTCGCGACAAGTTTGTCACTGAAAGGCGCAAACCAATCAGAATGAGTTTTTCACCCACCGAGACTTTGGTTTGTTTTTAGTGGTCGGGCGAATTTCGCCCGACCCAGTTCGTTTCAGTTTCGCTTTTGCGTTCTTTATATGACCTTGTCTCCAACGTTCCTCTTGTGAAATAGTTCGCTCCATTTCGCCATTTTCATTACCTAGTTCGTGCCCGTATCGATTCACTTTTTTCCTTGGAACTCGCTTGAAAGCCAAGTGGAACTAATCCTTACACGCCATGGGAAAACTTTCGAGCAGTTAACGGATTACCGAGGTGTTCCTATGGTGAGACTGGGGACACAAAGCAATATTGTTGTGCGAAAGCGATCAAAACAATCCGTAGAACAACCACAAATACCAAGAATTGATTTTTTTCTATCTATTTCATTTCCTTTTTTATCCTTTTTTCTCGTATAACTGTCTCTCTGCCGACTGCTTCAAACTTGATCTGATTTTCCAATTATATATTCATTTATTGATTGTCTTTTATTTTATTAATAACTTCTGTTTTTCTGTCTATTTTATTTTATTTCCTTTTAATTACTTGATATTTTAACATTCCAGATATTTCATTTTTTTTACTGTGTAAGGGCTGAGACTAACATTTATTCCCTGCCTTTTAATATTACCAGATTAGTCCCCCGTCAACCGCCGGGACCTTCCTTTCCTGCGCAAGCTTTCTATCCTCCGCTATGGTCCCTTCCTCCTGTGACACCAACACCTCCTGGAAGTGACGCGTATGCAACACAATGGTGTTTCAAACAGTAGAAGGGACACAATCATGATATGACGGTAGATTTTTCGCTTCCCTTCCTCATCCTCCCTTCCTCTCTCCACTGCCCTCCAGCTGCCACTGCAGCACCATGTGGAATGAACGGAAGTGTGCTAAGCAGGTGTTTATATAGCCCTAAGAGTGTTATCACAACTATCCTGCTACAAAACATTGATATCTCAAATCCTGTAAGCTACCCGATTTGTTAGCGGTTTGTTTATCCCATGAGCTTCCTTCTCACTCACTTCATTTTGCGGACGGACACACATACATACATACATACATACATACATACATACATACATACATACATACATACATACATACACACACATACACAAACCGACACACAAAGTTAGCGCTTTATAAAATAGAAGGATTCGAATTCGAGTGACGACTCCAGTTCGAATAACTATGTTTCGAAGTTATTTTCCGAATCATTGAAAAACGCATTCCGTAAATTAGAGTTAACGGCAAAAAATCTAATTGCTATGCTTACAAGCTTTTGCTTCCTCCAAAAAATCTTATAGTTAGCGAAACTTTTTATCTACTAATACTTATCACATCACAACAGAGAGGCGTGGGGTAGTAAGAGTTCCAAATCTCGTTGACCATCTTCTTTTTGCTGAACAGAACGTCTAAGCTCAGGTGAGGACGAAAGAATACAGACGTCGAGCACTTTTCCATTTCCCCGTAATCCCTGCCCCCTCCTCAAGTTTCGTCTAGAGAATGCCCAGTACCTTGCATGGCGCGCAAGCCGCTCTTCATAAATTTCATTTTTGTTGTGCTGTTTTTTATAGATTCTTCCATACTACTTATATCATACGCAACAAGCTTATATACAATGTAATATTTCCCATATATTATCATTTCCTAATATTTCTTTATTTATCATGTGAATATTTCCCATATATCAATAATTTCTAACAAAATCAGATCAAAAATTGATATGCGCAACAATCGCCGTATGTGCATAAGTTATTATAAACTCCATTAAATCAGTAAATAATAGACGAAAAAATAATCAATGAAAAATAGATAAACTAACTGAAGCCGTAACGCAGCTTAGAACCCTTAGAAACGTTGCCTGTTGTCTTTCATCTGCGAGCGGGGAACAATGGCTTCCGTCAGTGACTCATTGGAATGCACAGCGGTCGCCGTCATCGCCCATCATTCCATCGCCAATGAGGAAAATAATTTCTTAGCTCCATCTTTTCCCACATCTATGATGATTCCTATTGCACTTTGATTTCTTGTGAATTTCTAGACCTTCAGGCCAAGTACATGTCCAAAAATGGAGAGCATCAACTACCATCGTGGACAAGTGGCACGCTTACCACGCGAGCGGTCCGGGATCAAATCCTGGGTCGTGAGTCGCCCGGGCCAACCAAGCCTTCCATCCCTCCGGGGTCGGTTAATTGGTACCAGACTTGTCTGGGAGGATAAAAACACTGACTTGTACATCGGCTGGCCCCCGCAAGTCATTGTATAGGCCACATCGCATTCAAACGCCACTACGAATTACAAATGGAAGTAGAATGCGTGCCGCATCCCAAGACGGAATTGATCAACGGCAAAAGTTTTATCCTTTATCCTTTATCCTTTCCCCTTTATTTTTCGTTCTTTCTCTCTTTCCTTCTTATCTCTATGCCTATCATTCTTCTTGTTCTTTCTTTTCTTTATTTTTTTCTTTTCTTCCTTTTCCATCCAGTTCTTTTCTCCCTCCTTTCTTATAAATAAAGGATAAAGCATTTGCCGTTGATCAATCCCTTTTTGGGATGCGGCACGCATTCTACTTCCATTTGTACATTCGTAGTGGCGTTTGAATGCGATGTGGCCTATACAATGACTTGCGGGGGCCAGCCGATGTTCAAGTCAGTGTTTTTATCCTCCCAGACAAGTCTGGTACCAATTAACCGACCCCGGAGGGATGGAAGGCTTGGTTGGCGACACGACCCAGGATTTGATCCCCCGGACCGCTCGCGTGGTAAGCGCGCCACTTGTCACTACACCACTTCCGCCCGTCCCTTATCATTTTGGTTACTTCCCTTCACTTCTTACTTCTTTTCCCCCTTACTTATTTTAGATAAAATTTCGAAGAGGGAGACCTCAAAGAAATAGATCGCTATTGATTCACTCGTTTTTTCTTTCCTTTTTCCATTTCTCTTTTATTCTTTTTTTACTCTACTCTCCTCCTACCTCCTTAGCCACAACCGGTTGACAATGGACTTGTGTTTTCGGTTTTTCCTACAAAAACGCTGACATGTACATCAACTTTACAATTTATTGCTCACGCAATGCATGTAATCAATCATTCCGGCGAAGTGAAGACGAATGTTCGGCGTATTTTTGCTTGTGGTCGAAACCTGTTTCAATTGACTTGATAAAGTGGAGATGTGTGAGCAATTTGCAGGTTTCTAAAGGTTTTCTATCAACCCTCACTGTCATTCCAAATAAACGTCAACCTAGAGGTGTTTTTTCTGATCCATCTATCTTCGAGGACGAAGTGACCAAGTTTCCACTTTCATGTTCAACGTTAAAATCGGTAAAAAATGACCGCATTCTGTCACTTGTCGCCATAAATCTCTTAGACCATCTCACCATAAATTTTTTCATCCATTTCTCTCTATCAACAATTT